AGGCGAGCCTGAATGTTCTCGTAATTACGACAGAGCGAACGCAAGGTGTCGAGGTCTGAGATCTTCGGGACAGAAGCTAAGGTGCTGGCGTAGCATGGGCGGATGTTATGTAAAATGATCTCAAGTTTGTCTTCGTTAGACAGGCTCTTGGACAAACGTGAGAATAGCCCAGTCATAATAGAAATGTAAATAGTTATATTTTCAGACTCGCCCTGAGTTCTTGCCCGAATCTCCGACAAGAGTCTGTAATCATAATCGGCCTGGTCGAAATCTTCTCTAAGAAGTGAAACTAACTCGTCCCAATTAGATACCTGGTCCCGAATGGCACGATACCAATGCAAGGCATCGCCGGTAAAAATCTCAGCGCAGTAAGACAGCAGTTTTTCCCCCGGTATATTCTTCGACTGGCTGTATTCATTGATGCGCTGGATAAATGCACGAACGCAAGATTTGCCGTCGAACTTAAACTTAGTGAACTCACTAGCCACGCCGCGCTCACAAGTTACGTTAACGTTGAGAGGTAAAGCAGCAGTAGACTGAGGGTCTCTAGATGCCAGAGAAGGGGTGGAATCAGTAGCAGTAATAGCATTATAGCGTTCCAAAAGTTGCCTGTATTCCGAAACACACGTATCCACCACCCCTTGCTGGGTCGTGCTATCACAAACTATACGGTTGAGTCGATGATGGAGGTGGTTAATGAGGTTGCGAGCACGAAGCAACGCATTCCCATCGCTAGGCGCCTCGATATATGCTCTTAGCTTAATTAAAGCATCGCTGACTCCCTTTAAATCATCGCCGACAGACAAAACGCTCTCGAGAATGTCCTCCGAAGGAAAGAGTGGACCTAATTTAGCAATCTGCTCGCGTAACTCTCTGACTGTGACATGTACGTGCAACGTTACAAGTCTGCGGCGTTGCACCACCAAATCTTCTTTGGTCCGTCTCCTGCTGGCGTTGACTTCGGGTACGGACACCCTCCGTTTCCTCCTTAGGTAAAATCGGCATGATTTTATCCCACTTCTGACACCAATTGTTACGAGCTTGAGGTTCGTGACAATAAAAATTGCCGATAAAATTACCTAAATTAACACTTTAATTTTCTTTACACAAATTTAAATTTAAAACACTAATAATTAATCACACTGATTTACTTTATTCCGCTCCGAAGCTTCGCTTGTCTCGCCAAATTCAATACTTCCCCGATCGCATCTTGCAGCGCCCTTATATAGGGCTCTTCCACGAAAACATCCAGAATATTCCAGAATATTCGAATAAATACGTGCGCCAACCGACCAAGCGCAAATTATTTAACTTGGTCGTAAATAATATTACTTTGATACAAACATAGTTTAACAATTATTTTGAACTTTGATGATTGTTATTAAACTTTATACATTTGCTTCTAACTATTATTATTAAACTTTATACATTTGCTTCTAGTACAAACAATTACTACATTTTTTACACATAAATATATGTAGGGGAGCCAGGGGGAATGGTAGTCAGTGGGCAATGCGGGTCAGTTCAAAATGAATTGAACCTAAAGCTTTACAGAATACAGCTCTGTCGCATGGGGTGTAGCTCCGCACCCCTCCCGCACTGGCCAATACGCCGGGCCGCCACTCACGCTCGCGTCATCAGGAATAACACATGTGTCATAGAGGAGGAGCCGTTGTAAAATTTTAGAAATTTCGATCGAAAACGTGAGTATCTATATTTGTTACTTTTGCATATAAAATAATCTTAAAGTATAGTACTAAGACTAAACTTATGTTTATAATTGCAATTTATTAGATTTTTTGGTGTTTTTATTTAATAATTCAAATCTAGCAAACAAACCGTCCTTGGGGTAATGAGAGTTAGTTGACCCCCATTCCCCGCATCGTTTTTCATTATAAATAAACATTTTTGTTCATTTCAGACGTCAAGGAACTGGATTAGAAAGACCTTTAAAGCGAGTTGGACTGTAGGCAACTTGCAGTCAGCTGCTGTGTGCATCAGACAAGGCGGCAATGCGCAAAGTTGCCGAGGAAACTGGTATTCCTTTCAGCACATTACAAAGAAGGATAAAGAAAGATATATTTAAACCTCTAAAATTAGGAAGGCATGCCGTTTTTAACGAAGAGCAAGAAAATATACTTACAGAAAGTGTTTTACAATTAAGTTGTTTGTTGGTTTAACGACATATTAACTAAGAAAAATAACATTTCAATGTGCTGAAAATTTATAGCTATCTCATAAATTTAATAGAGATGCTAGAATGGCTGGCAGGGACTGGATCCAAGGATTTCTTAAGAAAAATCTACGAATAAGCTCCTGAAGCTGTAATTATACAGAGAATTGCAGGATTCAATAAAACCGAAGTCACTAAATCCTCTGATGTTATCTGTGTTTAAAATATTTCTGCCACCATAACAGACTTAAGAGTTAATGAAGTTTCAGATTACCATTCAACTAACAACATTTCAGAAGCAACAGCATCAACTAGCAGTAAGAACGTTATAGGACCGCAACCTTCTACAAGTGTTGATATTACAAATTATAAACCAAATGATAGTATAAATCAAGAGAACAATAAATCCGACAGTGAAACTCTAGCTAGCGTACTTTCACAACTAATACCTCTGCCTAGCATCGAAAAAGGTAAAGGCATAAGAAAAAAAACACATCAATCAGGAATTCTTACTGCATACAAGAGGCAAAGTAATTAAGAAAATAAAAGAAGTTAAAAAGAACTTAGTTAAGTCAAGTTCATCTGAAAAATCGGCTGATGAACAAGTTCCGTATGACGAGAGTGCTGATAGTGACTTAGAAAATATTGAAATCCCGCTAAACATCCAGAAAAACACTCAGAAAGAGCGTGATCAGTCTGTGTGCACGATATGCCTCGAAGAGGGAATACTGAGAGAAATCTGGTACCGTTGCCGTCTCTGTGCTGGATGGGCTCATGAGGCATGTACAGGATGTGATGATCCAAATCGCTATCGCTGTGATTTTTGCATTTAACTCGATTTATATTCCATTCTTTGTTATGATTCCATTTCTAACTTTTGATTTTGTTAATTCTTATTTGTTTGTTTAAAGAGTTTTGTTACTTTTTTTGTTTCATAATTTTGACTCTTATTCCCTCATAGACTGACTTTCATTCCCCTTACATGTGGGTAATTGGAGCCAAAATGACTTTTTGGTTTTTTAATTATAATTATGTTTATGGTAATAATAACCAAAAATACTTAAGTAACTCGATACCTGAATAGTTTTTAAAGATAAGTAAATGTGAACAAATTATAAGACTGATTATTAGTGATTATAATAACGAGTTTTCCTTAAGTGACTCCCAATTCCCCCAACTCCCCTACCATTTATATTGCCTATCTACTACTTAACAAAAAATTCAATTTAGTATTAAGCAACTTGCTGAATACATAAGGTACCTATTTGTACACAAATGCAGTTATATGAATTGCTCTTCAAAACCCTCTTTAAGTCCCTCGACCCAAAGATTCTAACTTTCTTTTAACATTATAATAACTTCTTTTGCGCATTTATTCTATTTATTATTTAATTTAGATTTTACTAATAACATAAACTTAATACTTTGTCACTTTTAACAAACTAATAAGGTTCAAAGACCTGTTTGTTATTTGTATTTGTTTTAGGTAAAATCTACAAACTTAATAATAGATTTTCACAACCTAGAATAGGTGTAAATTAATAAACTCTTATATTAATTAACGTAAACTAGTCAGTTTTATTTACGAATTTTACCACAAAAAATAAAAACATGCGTACTTGTGTCAATTAATATTTGGGTAACATTCCTGATAATTGCTAATATCCATATTTTTTTAAACATTAGTTAGTAATGCTTGTAAATAAAAACTTCATTTTGTTCTTGCCATAATGATGCGACTCAATGTTTTATTTCACTCTAGTGAATCAAGTGAATTTGTCCAACTCGATAATCGATAGAAAATAAATTTTACCGAGTTACCGAGTTACCTTGGCGCATCGTATAGATTCAGAGGGTGCTATATAGATATTACTTCACTAATTTACTTGTATATATAATAAGTCGCTACGGGTGACATAAAAAGTTGCATCCAAATTCAAACTTGCATCTGGCATGTTGTAAACAAACCTGAACTTAGTTTGATTTATGATATTGATTTATAATTTTAATTTCATGTTGCCACATATTACTTTTTTATAAAGGTACATATTTAAAAATGGTTTAACTAAAGTAATCGCTACTCTCAACTCTAGTGATAAACTTTTCTGTAAATAGTCGATTTACTCAAAAACTAGTGTACAACTAGAATAACATACATACGTAAATTAACCCGAGTGGCTCGAGTCACAAAACTCTACTCGAATCGCATCTTTGTCTTACGGCCAATGCAGTGTTTGTCTACAATTTAGTGATGAAATCGACTTACTAATTCGAGCAATTTATTGATATGTAATAAATAAACTGATATTAGGTAATATGTTTATAATGTTGTATCAATTTATGTTATATATAATATAAATTGATTATATATACTTTGGATAGTCAAATTATTAATAACATTAAGACTTACGTCATAACGTTGGAGTGATATTATTTTATGAAGATTGTCGATACGCATACCAAAAATAATATATAACTACCTATTAAGTGTAGTAATAATAATTGCGTTGTATGGATGAAAAACAATTATAAAAATAATTTGTGACAAATTGACACAGCTTCGTTCAGCTAATATGAATTGCGTAACTCGAGCTCAAAATCGAGTTACCTGAATTTCAACCCGAGTCGATTTTTTTCCGAGTTATACGGCACATCACAGACAATAATTTTTTTAAATATTACAATTACCTTAGCCAATGATCAGAACACGAATATCAAAACAACAAATTTTTTTTTAGATTTCTTGATTCCGTTTACATTTTCGAAAAATCTATAGGCAATTTACTATTATATATTTTTTATTATATTTTTTATTATTATGTTTCAGATTCAGCAACCAAGTGAAAAAGTAAAGATTCTTACAAAGAAATATGATTTGCTAAAGCGAAAAGTGAGAAGTTTAAATGAAAAAAAAAAGGAGACGGGATGGAAAGATTGCTCTCTTTTCTAATATTATAAAAGACTTTTACGGATTTTATCGCGTTTATTTTTACTTTTTATTTACTTTTATTTTTTTTTAATTCCCGACGTTTCGGGCGCTTTCCAGCACCCATGGTCACGTGGGACTGAGATGACTGACGTCCCGATGACATTGTTAAACCCGGAGTACCTTCAGCTTTTTTAATTATTGTTTATGGTCCGATCTATGCAAAATGAACTGACTATGTCCTGAGGTCTTGCAGTGGTATGCTTGGGTTTAGTTTTAATTTTATTGATTATAGGATCCCAAGCAGGTGGTAGTACCCAGCCTCCTTCTCTATTGAAATTAGGATGTTTTTTAATTTCAATAGCCTCACGTATCATCCTTGGTAGGAATCGGTGTTCTTTCGCGAGGATTGTGGTCTATCAAATCTGATGTAATGGTTGGGTCCGTCTAGGATATGATCACAAACTGCAGACTTCCCGGAACGTTGATGCTTCACATCAGCTATATGTTCTTTTACGCGGGTCCTAATTGATCTTTTTGTTTGTCCTATATAAGAGAGACCACATTCACAATCAAGCTTGTACACTCCTGCATCTTGTAGAGGAATATGACACTTGACGGATGGTAGGAACTGACTAATCTTCTTCGGCGGCTTGTAGAATGTTTTAATAGAAGCTCGCTTCAAGATATAGCCAATCTTGTCCGTGACACCTCTGACATATGGTAGTACAGCAGGCACACGCTCGACTGTGGCCGGCTTCACTCGGTCACTGTGACGTAGGCGCGGGACCCGAAGCTTGTTTTCGTGCAGAACTTGCTTGACGTGCTGAAGCTCGGCGGCCAGGTGTTTGCTGTCACAGATCCCTCGTGCTCTCTGTAACAAAGATTTGCCCACGGTAGCTAACTGTGAAGGATGGTCGTGAGATTCACCGTTTAAATATCGGTTTGTATGGGTCCTTTTCCTATACACAGTGTGACCAATGGTGTTATTAGGATTTCGGATGACTAACACATCTAGGAAAGGTAAGGAATTATTTGCCTCTAACTCCATAGTAAATTGAATTTTAGAGTTTATGGAATTAAGATGTTCTAAAAATGCAGTTACTTTGTCTGATGGTAAAATTGTGAAAGTATCGTCTACGTACCGCTTGTAGATCGTTGGTGTAACAGGTGCAGTAAGGAGGGCTTTCTCCTCAAAGTCTTCCATGAATATATCGGCGACAATGGGAGATACAGGTGAGCCCATCGCAACACCATCTACTTGCTTGTAAAACTCTTCCTTCCACAATAGATAGCCAGATGTAAGGCAATGTCTTAGTAATACTGCATATTCTGCTGGCATGTTATTTTCCTCTAGTTTCCTAGTTATAATTGAGATGCAGTCTTCAACAGGTAGGCATGTAAATAGAGACTGAACATCAAAACTGACCATGGTTTCATTGTCAGTAAGATGTAGGTCTTTTATCTCACTGACAAAATGGTATGAATCCTTAGTGTGTGCTCTTGTGTGTCCTCTGAGTGGTGATAATATTTTAGCTAAGTATTGAGCCAATCTGTAAGTTGGCGAATCAATCTGACTCACTATTGGACGTAATGGAGCAATCGGTTTGTGTATCTTTGGTAACCCATACAACTTCGGTGGTTTGGCACATGAAGGTATTAACGAATTAACGTCCAGATTCAATTTTTTCGGAGTATTTCTTAATTAGATCGCTAGTTGTTTTAAGCGTATTAGTTGTAGGGTCTGTTTTGACCTTTCGATAAGTAGTTTCATCCGACAAAAGTTGTTGTATTTTAAAATTGTAATCTGACGTATCCATTATAACCGTAGAATTACCTTTATCTGCGCGGAGAATCGTAAGCTCTGTTCTGTTGCGTAAGTTTTTCAACGCGTTAAATTCAGACCCTACAACTAATACGCTTAAAACAACTAGCTATCTAATTAAGAAACTGAAACTCCGAGCATAGCCCTCTCCATAGCTCGCTGAACGACCTTGAGCGTCCTCATACGTCACAATGTACATCTGGATATAATTACCTAAAGCAAAAAGGTCGAATTTCAAATGGTTAAAATTGACTAATTTTCAGGTTTATGTGGTTGTGAGGGTTGTCAAATTTAAATGATTTTTAGGACAATAGACACAAAACTTGCATTTGTATGATTATATTATATTTGGTTTAGACAAATTTATGTGGTTAGGCGGAAATAATTTGTGTATTTTAATTATGTTCGAGGGTATATTGCAGCCAAGTGTTTGTCCTTCCTTTAACCTAATGTCCCTTCTGTACACACAGAAGGGGGAAGGGGGGGTCTAAAAGGTGACGTGATTCTTGCGACCAATAAAACGCGCGCCCCACCTAGGTGAATTCGTGGGAAAGCCGAGCCAATAAAGGTTCGCGTGCTGCCCTCGAGCGCTCTCTTGCCTCGCGCCGCTAGTCTGAACCGCACCACCTGGAGCAGTCGCGCCCCAGAAGAAACCGCCTCACGTAGTGTGAGAATTCGTCACGCACCTCTCTTGCTTCGCACCGCTAGCCTGGATCGCATCTCTGGGGCGCCCCAGAAGAAACCTCCTCACGTCGCACCACCAGAAGCAACAGAAGCGTCGTCCGCAGCATCAGAATCACACCCCGGTAAGTGCTTCCAGTAATTTGCTACTTGAGCCTTTGTTTATTAGCTAACCCACCCCATTTTGTTTCTCCTTATTGGCTCAAGTAGAACTCCATTCTAACCTTGGCAAAGCAATAGATTTGGAAGAGCGAGTGCATTGTCCAAAGTTGTCGCGTGCCACGTCCGCCATCTTGTTGAGGCATAAGAAGCCAATTTTTCAAAAGAGTCATTGTAAAGGCAAAAAAATGCTACGGCTGAGGATGCGGCGCCACAAATTGTAGAGTAACCCGCAAACGTGGATGCCGCCGTGAATACCCCAGTTGTGGTTGATTCAAACGATGATGGAACAGTCGCCGAGGAACTGAAATTAGAGCACATGAGGAGTACATTAGAAGAGGTGATTGTGGAAACGCGCAGTACGCCTCTCGAAAATCGAACGCGACTTCCCCGCATAGCCCTAAGCAAGCGGAATCGGGCTGTCGTGAGGGCTCTGAATCCAATGCTGGTGACCTATTTGGAAGCCAGCCGGGACCTTTCCGAGACGAACTCAATTCTTTTTGGCGCCGCGCTGGTAGTCTGCCGTATCATAGGCGCCAAGGTTTCCACGGCTGGACGCGCTACTGGCCAAAGTAGCGCTATCCCAGCATGGAGAAGAAGAATTGAGGAACGTATCACAAAGGCTAGAGCTCTCATCGGCAGACTGATATGCTTCAGATCAGGCAATAACAGGCCAAGAATTATGCGCACCATCAGGATGGCGTTTGCTTAGATAAATGTCAGTTTGTCCTAGCCGGATATAACGCAAAAACTGACGGAGCGCATAGATGATCTGAAGAAGAGAATCGCTGCTTGAGGAAAGCGGATTCGGCGATATACGAGAGGAGAGAGAGGTCGACACGGTTCAACCAGAATCGTCTCTTCCAGAGTGATCAGAAGAGGCTCTACGAATCATTGGAGCGACCAACGGTAAGTGGAACGGGCCCGGCACCGAATCAGGCCGACACTGTAGCATTCTGATGCGGCCTGCGGTCAGAGCCCGTAAACCACAGCGAGGGCCCTTGGACGGAAGTGGTGGCGAGTCATTGTGCGAGTATAACGCCCATGGACCCCATCATTATAACACCGGATGACGTAGCTGAGGCGGTCCGTAGGGCTCCGAAATGGAAAAGTCCGGGACTCGACGGGCTGCATCACTACTGGCTGAAGGGGTTCGTGGTCTGTTGCACTGTGCTCGCCCGACATTTTCAAGAGGCTCTCAACCAGAAGTCGCTCCCGAACCTCTTCACTACTGGGATCACCCATTTGGTTCCTAAAGACGAGGGCACCACAGACCTGAGCAAATACCGCCCCATCACGTTTCTACCGACCATATACAAGTCACTAACATCCAATTTGAGCTCGAGAATCACTCGTCACCTGGACTCAAATCAGGTGATGTCGCGCGCTCAAAATGGATGTCGGGGCGGTGGTCGTGAAACCAAGGAACCACTCCTCATTGACGCGGTCATTGGCAAAGTGGTGAAACGCAACCGTCGGAACTTCTCCGCCGCCTGGATAGACTACAGAAAGGCATTCGACTCGGTGTCCCATACATGGCTAAAGAGGGTCCTCGAGCTGTACAAGATTGACTGTACAGTTCGAGACTTCCTCGAGCAGTGTATGGGGCAGTGGAGTACGATCCTTTGTCATCTGTGCAAGCGGATGATGGCTGCGGAGAACTACATAAGGATATGAAGGGGTATCTTCCAGGGCGATTGTCTGAGTCCAATCTGATTCTTCCTCTCTCTAAGCCCTCTCAGCTGAAACATACCGATACCTGGGTATGTCACAGAACATCGGTATCGATGAGGCTGGTATGAAACAGTCAGTTTGCGACATGTTTTATGCACGCTTGACCAAAGTGCCAAGTCTTTTGTCCGGTATGAATAAGGCACACGCATATAACGGCTGGGTCATGCCTGTCCTCATGTATACCTTTGGCATACTCAGGTGGACTCAGACTGAACTTAACGCCCTGGATAGAAAAGTCCGCACTACAATGACGTCTCATAGGATGCATCGTCCGAGATCGTCGGTAATGAGGCTGTACTTGCCGCTAAAGCATGGTGGGCGTGGCTTCCTGAGCGCGCTCACCATGCATAATCGCGTTGTGTGCAGCCTCCGTGATTACTTCCTGGCGAGATCGGATGATCCATTCTATAAGAACGTCATTTCTTGTGATAAAGGACTTACCCCTCTATCCTTAGCCAACGAGCAATGGCAAGACCTGGCAGTGCAGAGCATTTCCGATCGGGAGACCGTATGGAAGGAGAAGGAGCTCCGCGGGAGGTTCTACAAGGCTCTACATGAGCCTTTCGTAGACACAGTAGCCTCCCTCCACTGGCTACGCTTTGGTGACCTTTTCGGGGAAACCGAGGGTTTTGTCTGTGCAATACAAGATCAGGTTATTAAGACCAACAATTATCGGAGATACATCCTAAAGGATGGCACCGTCGACATCTGTCGAGCTTGTCGCCATCCCGGTGAGTCACTTAGGCATGTCATCTCCGGTTGTTCGGCGCTTTCTAACTCTGAGTACTTGCACAGACACAACCTAGTAGCCAGAATTCTTCACCAGGAGCTTGCTCTGAAATACGGTCTCGTGGATCGGAAATTGCCGTATTACAAGTACTTGCCGAAAGCCGTGCTCGAAAATGATCGCGCCAGGCTCTATTGAGACCGGGCTATCATCACAGACAGGACTATTCTTACGAATAAGCCTGATATTGTGCTGATGGACCGGGCACAGTCAAGGATATTTTTGGTCGACATTACCATTCCGTATGACGAGAACCTTGTGAAAGCCGAAACAGATAAACGAACAAAATATCTGGACCTGGCTCACGAGGTGACCGACATGTGGGGTAGTCTGCTGACCGAAATTATTCCTGTAGTCGTCTCTGCAAACGAGCTAATCCCAGTCAGCCTCTCGGGTCATCTGAGGCGGCTGGGACTACGTGGCGGACTGCTCCAGGCTCAAATGCAGAAGGCGGTGCTCCTCAATACCGCCCGCATCGTCCGCCGGTTTCTTTCCCTTTCCCCCTAACCCTCGGCCGTTTGGTCTCCCCTGCCGAGGGTCTCCATCTGGTTGGGCTTTTATTTATTTACGTATTTTTATATTTATTTAATTTTATTGATGTTTATGTATATTTATCCTTTTATTATCTTCATTTATAATTATATATTTATAGAACCCAACCAGATAAGAAAACTATATTGATACCCCATAATAATAAATATAATATAAACTAGCTGTTACCCGTGGCTTCGCCCGCATGGTCACTGGGAAATGAACTATCCATTGCTTTTTGAATTGAAAGAAAACTGAGTTTTATATATTTGTCAGAGATGCAGCCATTAAAAGGAAACTGATCAAAATTGATTCGTCAGCCTATTTAAATGCTTTGAAACGCTGCGTATAGGAAAGCATGAAAATAGCCTGTTTATTCCAAATGGAAATGGGATATTTTTTTAATTAAAGGAAACTGAGCATAATTACCCGTCAGGGATGCAGACTTTTGAAAAGAAACTGAGCTAAATGCAATGCAATGATGCAGTTTTCTGAATTGACAGGAAACTGAGCCAAATAAAAGATCCGTCAGAGATGCAGCCTTTTGAGTTGAAAGAAAACTGAGCTTAAGAGGGCATATGCGTTTCGCGTCGAAAACTACATGTTTTATGGTTTTTTACAAAGGCGATATCGTAACGACGTGAGGACATTATTTGCTGAAAATTAGGGCTTTGGAAAGATGAAGCCTTTATTTAGTACATAGCAATGCAAAATCATAGTTTTTAATGACGGTTTTTTAGGGCGAAGACAATCCCTTCACAGTGTTTTACGAAAATATGCATCAGAGTTATCTTTCAGGTTGAATACAACCATGATTATAAGCTAAAATACTTTATTTTAAGCGTTATTATAATGGAATATATAGTCTTTTAGTGTATAGCAAAACCTAAATTACGAAAATATTTCGATTTAATATTATAAAATAATATTATAAAATCACCAAAACTGTCTACTTCAATGTAATTTTTTTCCATGTATTTGCTTATAAACATATCTATTTTAATTATTTTATCAAAATACATGTAATGTTAAATATCCAATAAAATTTTTAGCTCGTTTTATTTTGTCAATTATTTTATATAATTATTTTAAAAATACTATAAAACATCATGTGCAGACGCAGTTTGATTTAGTACGCTCCGGGTAATCCCAACGACAGGACGTATTACTTTTTCTCACCGACACCGCGCGATCGCGTTGATACACCGATAGGGCTATACTACACCATACTATAACTAGATACCTATAGCACCATCGAGCATTTTAAACGATTCAGACTTTTATAAGCGATATTTTTGGTAGTAAGTAATTTTGAAATATGTTTATGATTGTAATATTTAAATATTAAATGATGTAATGGTGGCAAATTTTCATTTCATATATATTTTTTTAGAAATGAGTAAGTAATGAACGTAAGCAATTCGGATCAAGTAAAAATACAAAATCGTTGGCTTTCACCTTTGGCTCCGTGGCGGAGTGACTTGGTAGTGAGTTGTAGCGCTGAGCGCCGCAGGTTCGAATCCCACATGGAACAAAAATTTGTATTACCTACAAATAATTGTTCCAGGTCTGGATGTTTGTCCTTGTGAAATTAATGTATTTAAACTGCCCCAACGATGTACTTAGGAAAAATTCCTAGTGTGGAGATAACGTTATGATTAAACAAAGACATGCCATCAAAAACATAACTTGTAAAATAACCAAGTCTCGCAATGATGATACGGCCGAGCCGCTGTTTTGGTCGACATGGCGGGAGCACTACCGTGCCCCCAGATATAAAATATATGAGCCGTGCTTGAGTTGAGTAGCTCAAGGGCGTAGTGCTCGCCGTAAACGCGAACAATCCGGGCTCGATCTCCGCTAGTGTTGCCAGGTGTCCCGATTTGCGCGGGACGTCCCGATTTTCAAGGGTCTAGTGACACGTCCCGATTCACCCTTGATCGGGACGCCAAATGTCCCGATTTTCACTAACCTTGTTATTCTATACTTATACTCTGATTTTTCATTCCGTAGAATTCTGACATTTCGTAAGTGTTGCTACTAAAAAAGTTCTCCACCGAAAAAGAGACAAATTTGAACCATTTGAGGGCAATAAATAATAAAATGCTACGTATTTTTTATGTTTCACCTACAAAAAAGGTAAATCTAAATATTTACTTATACAAGTCACCTAATACAAAAATAACAAATATTTCAATATCACGAACAATATATCTAATTAACTTTAATTACTTAATATTTTATTCTTTAGCTGGCATCACTGTCTACTAATTCCAGGTTTAAAAAACCTTTTAAAAAAATGTTAGCTGTCACGTCGCGTCTGTCACATTGATTGATTTTCATTCGACTTCTTTGAATGCTCGAATGCGCATGTGTTCTCGGTGTTTGCTGCTATTTGTTGTTATTATCTTGTTATATTTGTTAAGTTTCTGTTATTCTGTTAAGTTTTTTCTTGTTGACCTTTCGTTTTGTGATCGTTTGTTGATTTTTATAAACGTTATGGAGCCACAACCTGGCCCTTCCCGGGAAGCAGCCCCATCTGACAGAGCACAAGGCTTAGACTTTCTTTCTCCCAGAAAGAAGCGTCCTCGTGGTGCTTTTACGCCCAACGAAAAGACCATAATTCTAAATATTTACAAATATAATATAGAAAATTGGCC